GGTTAAATGAACAGATTCTTCTAATTATATTTCCATTGCGATGTTTGTTTATTTTGTGGATAGTTTGTAAAAAAAAAAAAGGGCAATTTATCTAATTGGTTAATATGTCTGCATGGTTGTATTACTCTGACATTTTGTACCGAGTATATATTTTCTAGCACAATATACCTTTTGTAATTTCAGTTTTATTTTTTCGGCTCAAATTCGAATCCAAGCGCGCTTGTGTTAATTTTTTTTTGACAACTAAAACTACCGCATATCCAAATATGTTTGTGTGTGTATAAATAATATGTTTGGGTTTATTTTTTGTGGTACCAAATTTATTACGGCTATAATTTTAATGTACTGGAAAAAATGGGCAGTTTCTCAAATAATATTTCAATTAGTAATCTCATTTTTGTATTTAGTTTTCAAATTGAAACAAATTTCTATAAACACTTAGCTTTTCGACCCGTAGTTATGGCAAGACTGGTCAACCGCACGATGGTAATGACTCATCACTTTTCCTTCAGTCGCGGAGCGCTGTCATTACGACTTTTTTATATATTTTTTCTTGTGTTACACATAAGGCTTGAGACACATAAGTTCTTATCATTATTAATATTACAGAATCCGTCATATTTATCTAGGATTGTTTCTTTTGGTGTTAATTTAAAACCTGCATGTATTATCTAATCCGTAGTTGTATTTGATACCTTTCTAACGCGAGGAGTTCAAGGCCAGAACACGACGTATGTGTAATTATTTAGTGGTGCAGTTAAGGTACGTGTAAGGTTTTATCCTTTTATAACCCTGACAACTTCTGGTGTAATCCAAGGACGTGTCCCATTTTAATTTGATTGCAATAGGGAAATTTTCAACGATTTCTCATTAAATACTTTCATATATGCGTTGGGATTAGCCAAAACTGGCAAAAGATAAAAATCACATCATTCAAAAAGTGTTAACTGTTACTTCTGTTGTTGTTTTCAAGACTTATTTCAACCATTGACGCCAAGTCATAAACTTTGATAAAGCCAAAATTTCATGTCAAATATTTCCGTTAGTATCAAACAGTTTAATTAATTTAGGGGCAAATGGGTGGAAACGAGGTCTTCTCATTTTATACTAAATTGATTTTATTCATTACTACAGAAAAACATTACTGACAAAGTTGTAATGATAATATTTATATATTACATTTATTTTACATTTGATATTTCAAAGTGTCCTATATTTAAGTTTTTATTGATAGTGAGAGTAATAATTCAAGGCCAAAGCCTATTTGGGTAAATAGTACCTGAATAAATATGGAAATATTAGCTCTTGGGGCTAATCTATAATAGATTCAGTTTAGTAATGCTTGGAGACGGCTTGAATGGGTAATGAAGAAAAACTTTAATATAAGTTTAACATAACAGCAGATGTACAATGTTTCAACAAGGTTTTGTCATCATTAGGTATAAGTAGTTTACACTGACATGGATATATATATACTGTATTGAACAAAGAGGTCACATGACCTGATACTGTTGCAAAACTTAGAAGAGGTATCT